GAATCAGACATCACTGTCACTGTTAGTAATTAAAATTGTCGTAATAATCGCCTGGGGGCGGCGGTGGCCATGTGGCTGGCTGTAGTCCAGCACTGTTGTGGAGGCAGCAACGAGGGTTGGTGGATCACCACACAGATTGAGTGAAACGCGTCTCCCCTGAGCATCGAATAGGAGCTGTACCCTGGCGAACCAGGAAGAGGTGGTCCAGAAAAGATGTGGACCCCGCCTGTTGCGTCTCTACGGGATAGAGCGTTTCCTCCTCGCTCGTGTTCTCCTGGTGCTCCAGTTTCCTCCCACATGTAAAACCTCATTTGTTGGGCCGATAACACCTTGATATATGGAGGACTGCAGAGCTTGGAGGGGGAATTTGGCTGCTGCTGTGTCACCGTCTCAATGTGTCACCGTCTCAATGTGTCACCGTCTCACTGTGTCACCAACTCACCGTGTGACTGTGTCACGTCTCACTCTCACCGTCTCGCCCTGTCACCGTGTCTCTGCGTGACCTCATCACTAGATCACTGTCACGCCATCCCCGTGTCACTGTCGCAACGTACGTACGTAGCCAACCGTGCTCATCGGAGGTACGTGTCTCCCCGTGTCTCCCCGTGTCTCCCCGTGTCGTCCCCGTGTCTCCCCATGTCTCTCCGTGTCTCCCCGTGTCTCCCGTACCATCCCCAGCGTGCGGTGCCAGCAGAGGACGGTGCTGCGTGCGTACCACACGGCGTGCGCCCACTGCTCCGTGCGCCTCGGGATCTGCGCCAAGTGCGGCACAGAGGGGGGCGTCGTCCTTCCGTGAGTCACCGCCACCACCTCCAGTTCACGTGATTGAGCCGTCTGTGCGTTTGGCCTGGCCCAGAACGCCGCATCCTGCTTTGTGAAACCGACAAGATGAGCCAGAGAGTGTTCCTGCGGTGAGCTATGTGGCGTCATTATCACCACAGTCGGAAGCAGCAGCGCAATGTGCCACTCGCATGCGCTCAATAACAGCCACAGCTGAGCCAACTGGCGTCCATCCCTGTACGAAAGCAAGCCTGCTCGTGGTTACAACGAGGCGTGCGTGTCTTTGTGGCGCAAACGGTCAGCGCGCTGCGCCACGGCCAACCCGTGTGAACGTGAACCTCGTGGTGAGACCCGGGGGTCCCATAAGCCCCCGGCTCTCGCACAAACTGCGTTGCTACGTCGTTTTACGTCCGTTGAAGGCGAACGATCTGGCAATCTATTCCTCTCGACGAGCTCTACACAATGCGCTTATCACAGTTTCAAAGTTTTGTTTCCTCTGCGCAGTCGTCCTCGCTGTGCTTAGACGACATGGCAGCAGGAATGATCCGTGCCAGGCGAGTCACGGCGTTTGTGTGCGCGGTGGGACGGAGTCGCCAAAAGTAAATAAATTAATTACCATATTGACTTCCGTTTATTCGGGACCCCGGGGTCCTGCCATAAGAACCGGTCCTGCGCCTCACCTAGGTCGACTCAGTGTCAAATGAGTACCTGGTGTGACGTGCAACAAAAACATCGGCATGAGGGAGACAAAGGCGGCCGGGCGTGGTGGTGCTGTGGCCACACCACCCTCTTGTGTGCCACAATGCCGGCCTTCATAGGTGCTACTCGCTAACAGCACTTTCCCCAACATTCTGGTAAGGTTATAAGGGGGGGGGGTCTTTGTGTTCACCCACTCCCTCCCCCTCCAGTGAATGCCATGAATGTGTGTGGGGTTTTGCGCTGGTTGCTCAATTCTGGGAACGATTGAAGCGATTTCCCTGACCCTTGATTTGGCCCGTCGAGTTTTTGTTGTTGTTTACGATCGTGCTGTCTCATTTTTGTACATTTTGTTCTGGGGGTTTTTTTTTTTCCCCTCCTCCGTCGGCACCAAAAAAAAATGTACGTATCCTCACGAGTCGTGAAACGGTCGCGCGATTCCCCACGGTCGCGATTCCCCACACGCGCGTCGAGGAGCCGGCTAGCCGACGTGGAGAGGCCCTCGTGAGCGCGGGAACCGCCGCCGCTGCCGCAGGGCGCCGCTCAGCTCGCAGGTCGCCAAGCGTCGGTGAGATCTGACGGTGATAGAGCGTGAGTGTCTATGTGACGGTGATAGAGCGTGTGTGTCTATGTGACGGTGATAGAGGGTGTGTGTCTATGTGACGGTGATGGCGATGATGATGATTATTCGAACAACATTTGCGCGAGTTGGAAACCGTAAATTTGTTGTAGTCGTCTCTCACTTAGTCCCAACGTTCTGTCTTCCTGTGCCAGTCTGGGCAACCAAGGAGATAAAGAAGAGCCCGGAGACCAGGGAGGAGACCAGGGAGGAGATGAGGGAGGAGACCAGGGAGGAGACCAGGGAGGAGACCAGGGAGGGGACCAGGGAGGGGACCAGGGAGGGGACCAGGGAGGGGACCAGGGAGGGGACCAGGGAGGGGACCGTGAAGAGGTCCATGGAGGAGGCCACGGAGGAGATGGAGAGGATGGGGGTGACGATGACGCAAGTGACAGCGATGGGCCTCTGGCGGAGAGTGCGACGTGAAGCAGATGAGCAGCACTGTGTCCCCCCCACGCCCCCCCCCCCACGCCCCCCACGCCCCCCTCTCGAACCGGATCTTCCAGTACCTCTGGGAACACCGCCAGCAGTATATCAGGTAGCGGTGAGTCCCCACCATCAGCGAGCCTCCCTGAGCGAGCGGTGTTACTGGGCACAGGTGCAAGATGGCAAGTGGTCAGCAACACAGAACTCGCCATCATCTCTCAATGCTGCCATGTCAAGAGTCCACCCAGCAGAAAATTGACATCCGAGCGGCGCTATTGATAATGCGATCGATAATTACAGCGATGTCAAGTCGTCACCGTGCGTCACCGCCGCCGCCGGACAGGATTTGCTCGCTGCTGTAGGTCGGGAGAGGAGTCCGACTCAAGAGGCACGAGGAGGAACCACAGACGAGCGGGAAGGCAGCAGCAGCAGCAGCCACACGGTGGTGAGCCGGTGCTACCGACGGTTGCCCAAGCTCCGCAGTTCTCTATATATCGAGATGTTCTCGGCAAATTATTGAGTGTTCCTTTTTGGTTTGCGGGAGTCGGGAGGGGCGGGGGGGATTTGATTTGACCGTACTTCACCTGCGACTGGGTCCAGCGTTTGTCTGCAGAAGGGTGTGCGGTCCAGCAGGTAGAAGTCGGTTTAGATGACTACCGTTGTTGAGGCGTTGGCCTGGAGCGGAATGACGCGATGTGCTGCCCGTCTTTGCGGTACGGTGCAGCAATTCTGCGTGAAGATCCCTCGAGGGGTCAACAGCCGACGCCGGTCGTGACGTGTGTGCATCGGATCGCAAGTGCGAGGGGTCGGGGCGACAACCGGTTATTCAAAACGCATGCGAACGATGTGCTCATCATGCGCTAACTTTACAGTTGGGCTAAGAATGATCGAGACCATGACAGAAAGGAGACGGTGAAGATGACAGGCGGAGAGAATCGGAACCCCGGGGAATCTCGAGAGGGGAAACGCACGAGGCTCGTGGCGGTCGCGATGGTTCCATCTGGAGCCACATTCACGTTCAATTAAACGATATTTTACCAATGTTCTCAACTCCCTGGATTTTTCTTCCGACGTCCCTGGCTCCGTTGTTTTGAAGGCGCGTGGCGTAGTTTCAAGCGAAACTCACGATTGCTGCTAAATTTTGGCTGTGAGAATTGTTCCCCGGCTCAATCCGCGGTGCGTGTCAGCTACTGTGTCCGTGAGCGGTAGTGGGGAGCGGTGGCACAGTGGTCAGTGCACTGCACTATGAACCCGGCGATCCGAGATCCATTTACGCTCACAGACAACACCAGTGATGATTTTCTGAACCTGGTGACGATTATCTATCCCCTAGATCTACTCGGCCTCAAATGAGTACCTGGTGCAGTGTAAAAACATGGCCACTGGGGAGACGAAGGTGCCCGGCCGTGGTGCTGGCCACCCCGCTCTCGTACCGTGCCGGCCTTCGTAGGTGCAATTCGCGAACAGCTCTCACAGTTTAAGGCTTTTTATGGGGCACCTTTGGAAGTGGGTGATGGTGGGCGAGTTGAGCCGAAGCAATAATCACCGCGTTGTTAAACGCCCGCGCGACGTTTCAACTAGTTTGGCCGTGTTAACGGAGATTTGACCGGATCATTAAATGTGGCCTCATCCCTAAAATCATTCGTGTCAAGTCAACAAAGCCAGAACCGCGGAACCGCACGCAGCCGGTGCCTCGCCACGTGTGGTCGGGTCTCGACGTCGTTGAGAACGATGTCGTTTATCCTTCAACCGCCGACGCACAGACTGTGTCCTCTGCCGTGATAATTATTTACGGACTTGTTGGTTTACGGTCACGTGTTCAGTTCGTGTCGTCCACGGCATGTGACCTTGTCGCACATTTCGGGTCTCCGGCCGGCAAATCTGTCCCCTCCAATATTTATTCCGCAGCACTCACTTTGAGTCTCCGTAATCTCACTTGCGGTCCGTATCGGCTCTGTATCAGCCAGCAGCTGCACATTTTAAAATTGTCTTTGAGCTTCACTGCTTTTACCACTCGCTGTACCTTCTCCAATGCACGCCTTCTATCGAGCGCAGCCTCAAGAGAACGGCAGCGCACGCTACCTGGCCAACACGAACACCGGGGCTGCCCCTGGCTCTCTGGCCTCCCTGCGCTCCCCCCCTGGGGTTTCTGGTCCGGTCTCGGCGCCCTCGGGGCTCCGGCTCCTCTGCATCGACGTATGTTGAACTTGTTTCGACCGGGACATAGACAACGCGCTCACTGGAGGTGTGGGGGAAGGACGACAAACTAAACATGAAGAGCAGCTCTAAGGCAATGAGTTTTCAATCAAGATTTAAAAGTGGCGTAGCTTCAGTGGCTTCCTAATATCGGAAGGAAGAGCGTTCCAGACGGCCGCAGAAGTGCATCTGAAAGCGCCACGTGATGCGGCGGCCATCTTGGTTTGCTGCTCCTCTGCCCCTCGTCCTGGGCCCCTTTGTCTGGCCTGGGACCACTCGAATCTTACGGATGGACCAATGTCGACCATTTTAACATGTGGTAGTAGTAGTAAACTATTGTGACCAAATATCCAAAATAAAGGGTGTTTTTTTTTGTGTTGGAGCGTGCAAGTATAAATGTGTCGTTGAAAACTCGCCGCCGCCCGACAGCCCATCAGGAAGGTTTTGCCACGTCAACAAATCGTGCCGCTCGGCCTCGAGTGTTACTTGGCTCCTTGGTTCTTTCGGTGAAGTCACGAAGAAAGCAAATAAATTCAACAATAGCACGCGACGTTTCGATTGCAACACAAGCAATCGTCATGAGGTACAAATGAATGAAAACAAACAGTAAACTTAGAAATATAATGCAATACAACACAGAGAGTCGGCTAGCGCAACAGTCAACACCCCACCTGGTTGATTACGTTCTTCCAAAGAGTGCTAAATTTGAGAGAGAGACAAAACACAGACAGACACAAGCAGAGAGAGACTCACAAGCAGAGAGAGACACACAACATAGACACAGACACAAGCAGAGAGAGACAACAGACAGACACACAAGCAAAGAGAGACACAGAGAGAGGCACACAGAGAGAGACACAGAGAGACACACACATAGGCACACAAGCAGAGAGAGACTCACACGGAGACACAGAGAGAGAGAGACACACACAGACACGGAGACACACAGACACGTAAGCAGAGAGAGACAACACAGACACAGAGAGAGCCACACATAGGCACACAGACAGACACAAGCAGAGAGAGACTCAAACAGAGACAGAGAGAGACACACACATAGACACGGAGACACACAGACAGACACAAGCAGAAAGAGACACAGAGAGAGAGAGACACACACATAGGCACACAAGCAGAGAGAGACGCACATCGGCACACAGAAACAGCGCCTCTGTGTCGAGGCCTTGAGTAGAGAGATGATGGTTGCTTGTGTTGCAATCGAAACGTCGCATTCTATTATTTAATTTATTTTCTTTCTCCGTGACTTTACCGAAAGAACCAAGGAGTCATTCCTGCAGTCACGGGAGCTCCAAATCAAGTTTGTTTCTGAGGCTCCCAAGTCAAGTTCGACTCCTGCCTGTGATGCGAAGTTTCCTTAACAAGAAAACAAATAAATATATATATACTCCAACAACTGTAAACTCATAGCTTATAATTGTCATTGTGATTATGATGAAAATACATAACATGATTTGAACAATTAGCGTTTAATCCCACGATTGGTCATGCCCATTTTCCCTAGGAGGGTGGCAATGTTGCTGTGTCAGTCTGCGTTGGGGATGTGTTGGTCAGATGACCGGTGGCATGGTATGGGTTTTGAGCTGTGGGAGGAACCCCCACGCGTCGCAAGAAAGGAGAACACAAGCTGCACTCGCCCTGCAGGACACGCGGGGAGATCGCGCAACTCCACTCAGCAGGCAGGTGCCCGTGTCCAGACTCAAGCCGAGGCCTCTTGCAGCTGCGAGGCACGAGTGTTCCCGCTGAGCCGCCACCACCACCACCCCCCTGCCGAAATGTTGTTTGTGATTTGTTGAATGGTGTAAGGTTGTGTGGTGGTGGGATTGAGGAGGAGGAGGTTGTGGTGGTGGTTTATCCCAGCTGACAGCGCTGGCCTGTGCACGTCCTGCGTGTGTGAGAATGTGTGAGAGTGTGTGTGTGAGTGTGTGTGTGTGAGAATGTGTGAGTGTGTGAGATTGTGTGTGACCATCGACTAGTCATCAGTAAGATGCACCTGCCATTCTTCATTCCGATGTTGGGTGTACACCCAGGACCACATTCCAACCTAAAGTGGCCTGGTCTCAGCTTATGAAAGTTGCAAGCGAGAATTTCATCTTCGCTTGCAGCTGGGGTTGGCATCGTCCCCCACTCCTCCTGATGTCGAGGGTAAATGGGCGAGGTTTAGGACTGTGGCTCATGCAGCTGCAATGGCTGCTTTGGGTACGCGGTCCAGACCTCCCCAGAAACACTGGCTGACAGAGGAGGTGTTCATGATAGTTGAGAAAAAGCGACAGGCCCACTCTCATCGGCTACAGCATCCCACGTCAGAGAATGAGGAGGTTTACCGCAGCCTTCGCTCGTAGGTTCGGAGAGTCATAAGGCGCTGCAAGGATGGGTGGTGGTCGCGGGTTGCTGAGGAGATGGAGTCTGCCTCAGTGGCCCGCGATCACAAATCACTATTTAACTCCATCAAAAAAGTAACCTGCAGCGCCACACCTATTACCATCAGGGGAAACAACGGTGATCCAATCTCCGACCCCCAGGAACAGGTTTGCAGATTTGCTGAGCATTTCTGTGAGGTCCTGGGGGAGGGGAAATCTCTCAGCCAGGAAAACATGGCACAAAGTGGGGATAACCCTGCTGAGGCTGCGGTGCCTCAAATATTGGAAGAGGTCACCCCCTGTGAGTGGCTGGCTGAGGTGCCATCTGTTGAGGAAGTACTGAAGGCGATCCGGAGTCTGAGACCAGGAAAGGCACCGGGCAGAGATGATCTCCCAAGCAAAATGCTGAGGGAGGGTGGCGTTTGTGCACAGACTGCCCTATATGACATCATAACAACAGTCTGGACCACTGGACGGGTTCCGCAGGATTGGAAAGATGCCCTGGTGGTCCCCCTCTTTAAGAAGGGGGACCGCACAGACTGTAACAACTACAGGGGCATCTCACTCCTCAGTGTGCCGGGAAAGGTCCTGGCAAGGATTATTCAACATCGCCTTGCTAGGCACGCTGAGGAGAGGCTTGCGGAGCCCCAATGCGGTTTCAGGAAAGGGCGGTCCTGCACAGATGCCATATTTTCTGTCCGTCTGCTACAGCAGAGGTGTAGGGAATTAAGACCTACATCTCTGCTTTAATGACCTGGTCAAGGCCTATGATACCATCAGTAGGCCTGGGCTCTGGGTTGTTCTTCGTGCTTTCAGAGTCCCTGACCCTCTGCTCATGATCATTAAGGACCTTCATGATGGTGAGCGGGCCCGGGTAAAACTACGTGGCCGGGAGTCGGAGCCATTCCCTGTACACCTTGGGGTGCGACAGGGATGTCCTCTGGCTCCCACATTATTTAACATATTTTGACCACGTAGTTCATGAAGCCTTCAATAGCTGTACCGGGAGAATCTCCATTTGGTACAGATATAATGGGAGGCTGATCGATGCCCAGGTGCGGTCAAGGGATGGCTCCCTATTGGTCAACCACGTTATGTATGCCGATGATCTGGTAATTGCTGCTCATTCAGAGGAGGAGTTGGAGACGCTGCTGCTGAGACTGGAGCGTGCCACTAAGAGGTGGGGCCTTACCATCAGCCCCACCAAAACTAAGCACCTGCCTGGTTATTTTGTACCATCGGATACTCCACCCCCACAACTACCAATCGGTGATGGGGCAGTTGTGGAGAGAGTGGAGAGTTTCCCATACCTGGGCAGTGTGCTCATGATCGTTTCCGGTTTAAGAGCAGAGGTCTCACTCCCAATCAGTCGAGCGGTAATGTCTTTTCATCGGTTGCTGTGTGGAAGCTACCTGGTCTGTCGCTCCGCACGAAGCTTCAGGCCTTCTCGGCCACGGTCAATCCCTC